CTCAGCCAATGAGAAGCCTCTGCAGCTCAGCCAATGAGAAACACCCCAGCTCAGCCAATGAGAAGCCTCTGCAGCTCAGCCAATGAGAAACACTGCAGCTCAGCCAATGAGAAACAACACAGCTCAGCCAATGAGAAGCTGTTGCCACCCTGAACTGTTGCTTTCCCCCAGTGGACTTTCACTTAGAACAACCTCTACTTGCCCCCTCCCCCCCATTTTTCTCTGTAAAAGCAGCTCCCCTCCTTTGTTTTCTGGATTGGCCTATGGTTTGCCATAGTGTGCACATCTGAAATTGCAATTCTTTTGGTTATTCCTGAATAAACTCGTTTGGAGGGTAAAATAACTGCTAAATTTGCTTTTCAAGTTAACACATATCATAAAATTTGCCCATTTCAAGTGGACAATTCAGAGGTTTTTACTGACCTTACCAAGTGGTGCAGCTATCACCACAAATCAGTCTTAGAACATTTTTATCCCTCCAAAAAGACCCCTCATGCCCCTTTACAGTGAGTCTCCACTCCCACCCCAGCCCCAGGCAACCACTTGTCTGCTTTCTGTACCATTTCTGTACCATTTCCACCAAACACTATGTGGTCTCTTGTCTGGCTTCTTTCACTCAGCATAATTGTTTTTGAGGTTCACCCATGACATTGCCTGTGTCAGAGCTTCATTTCTTTCCATTGTAGGATGGACCCCATTCTGTCTACCCCTTCACCAGTTGATGAGCTCCAATCACACAGTATCGTTAAGAATAAATTTTTTTTCATGAATGTTCATATATTTTTTAGAACACATCACCAGCTATTGGTAAAATCCTTGGGCTCCCAAATATTCCAATTCTGCAGCGAACCCCAAGCTTTCTCACATGGAAGGGGGAACAAACATAACATTCACGTGGGACTTTTCTCATTAGACATCTTCCTAGATGAGTAGGTCATTCATGTGGGCTTTTCCTGAATTTAGCCTGCAGACCATGGAACAGTGAGAGGAGGAGTCCGAGGTCCTGGGGGCTACAATATTAAAATGGCCAGGAATAAAAGTAGCATCCTCATGTGGCTAACTAAGAAATAGCTGCTTGGTTGCTAGTGGTTGAATGAATGGTGAATGATTTGAGCATGATATTCTTGAAATGAATTCTGAAAAGTTATGTTTATAGTTTTGAAATTAGGTTAATTTTATGTTCAAAGAAGAGACAAAGCAAAGTCTCAGGAACTGGAGCAAGACGGAACAGAGGAGGAGCAGCTGGAACAGGAGGAGCAGCTGGAACAGGAGGAGCAGCTGGAACAGGAGGAACAAGCTGGAACAGGAGGAGCAAACTGCACTTGTCACTGTAGAAGAATGAGTGTGCTAAATGTTACTTTTTCAACTTAGGTGTCAGCAAGAGGCTCCAGCTGAGGCGTTTTCCTGCATTAATGAACACATGGGGTCTGGGACCACACCACAAACTGTCGACTCCAGGGACAGGTGTGTGTTGCCAGGCAGCAGTGACTGAAGGCAAGCGCCTGTATCAGTGACCCACTGGTCATTGGTTGGGTAATCAATCGTTCCGGCTCTTCTGCCCACCTCTTCACAGGTGGAAGCAGCGTCTGCTTATTCACAGTGTCTTCCTTCCTCCTGTGACATGAGACATTGCACAGGCGGGTTCTGCATGATCACCGCAGAGGGAGACGAGGTGGAGTAAGAAGGGAAGAGGCGCTCTCCCCAGGAAGTAAACTCCTCTCACCTCCAGGGGAAGAGACTTCCCCCCGACAACCCTCAGTGTTCTCTGACGTGTAATTTCTGGATACCGAGTAGGCAAAGCCCACTGGGGCCCAAGACAAACGATCACTTGAGAATACAGCATCTCTGATGACGAGACCTTGGGTCTTCCCAGATGCACATAGGGAGCCACGGCCATGGCCCAGCTTCCACTTGACAGCACCAGTTTGTTTGAACTAAACCTGCCACCTTCATGATTGTCAGATCTTGTCTGGTTGCCGTCAACATCTACCACCCTGTGCTACAACGTTGTCCAGTGACGCTGCGCCTGAATGTCCACGGATGGCGTTTGCACAGCCAGCATTTCTCCATGGAGAGAAATTTACTTGATTGTATTTTATCCTGACACGAGGTGAAGACATAGGCTCTATCTGCTAGACATGGATTAGCTGCAGACTTGAGTTTTCATTGTCATCCAGTCTATGTGTGTAAGAATTGTGTGTGTTTTCTGCCCAAAACAAACAGGAAAGGAAATGGACATAAAGAAAAGTTTAGGACCTAGAAACAATGGCCGGGGAGTTATTGCTTTATTTTAATTTTAGCTGAACTGCAGTGAGGCAACAGAATGTCTTTAAAGAGTGTTAACCCTCAGTAAATAATTTTATTATAAAACGCTTTGTAGTAAGTGCAGCATGTGTTCCACGCCATCCGAATTCTGTCAGAATTTCAAGCAGGAGCAGACAACTTAATTTTGGGTGAGCGTCCTTTGCAGTGTGCTGCGGGCAGGCCCATCCAGAGCTGCGAGCAATTGTCTGGGTCTCCAAGAGCCCTGGCTGCTGTCCCCGTTGGAGCCCCTTGTTGGGCCAGGTGGGCAGGCTGGTGTTGCCGTCTTGCAGGTGAGGAAACGGCAGAGAGGAGAGCTTAGGCTCCGTTACTGTATTGTGTCGGGTTGCTGGGCTAAACCTGCTTTCCGAGGCCTACAGCACTTTCACACTTTTCACTTCTTTCCAAAGCCATTGTTCTTGCTCTTCACAGAACATTTTTTTATTAAAAAAAAGCGAAATAGTTGAAATATTTGACTTAAGAAATATGTTGTCATTCTTTCCTTCTCTTTCTTTATGCCCTGCAAACACTCCTTTAAATAATCACATTTCCCTCTAGAGCTATATGGAAAAGAGATAATCCCTGTACTTAGGAATGCCACAGGGAATAGTTCAGTAACTTAATGAGGTCCTTCAAGATGTGTGTCTGCAACTAAGGAGCATAAAATCACCGACCTAGTTCTATTTAAAAATGAACATTACACCTGATTTACCTATATGAAAGGAGTATTAATGCAATGTGGTGGGGTGAATGGTTACCTCTGCGAAAATTAATAAAGGAAACCTCAGCTGATGTTGAAGTTGGGAAGGGCTGTAGAGAGAGCTCTCATACCCTATCACTCATCAATTACCCCAAACAGGAAGAGAGGTACTTTGCACCTCCAACAGAAAGTTGCCTACCGCTTTACTGCTCTAGCAGGAGGAAGGAAGATTTTCTTCTTGCCTGGCAATAAGCCCAGCCAATGGAAAATGCCACAGCTCAGCCAATGAGAAGCCATCACCATCTTGAATTCTTATTCTCCTCCAATGGGCTTTCATTTAGAACAGCCCCTCCCAATTCCCCCTTTTTCTCTGTAGAAGCAAGCTCCCTTCGTCTGTTCTCTGGACTTGCCTGTGGTTCGCCATAGCTGGCATGTCCTGAAATGCAATTCTTTTGCCATTCCCGAATAAACTCATTTTGCTGGTAAAATAACTGGCTATATTATTTTAAAGTTGACACTCCAAAAAGGATGTGTCCACTCCCAGATCCTGTGAATGTGACCTTATTTGGAAAGGATCTTTGCAGACATGAATAAGTGAAGTTTAGGGTGGGCCCTAAATCCAATAATAGGTGTCCTTATAAGAGAAAGGAGAGGAGGTCTGAGGCACAGAGACATAGGGAGAAGAGCAACGGCTGTGGACACAAGCCCAAGGATGCCTGGAGCCCCAGCAGCTGGAAGAGGCAGGAAGGACCCTCCTCTAGATCCTGGGGCACCTTGATGTCAGACTTCTGGCCTCCAGCACTGTGAGAGAATAAATTTATGTTGTTCTAAGCCACCATATCTGTGGTACTTGGTTGTGGCAGACACAGGAAATGAACACATGTGAGCCTTATTTTCAACAGTCGATATAGATATGAAGACAGGCTTCTACCGAATCAACTGACCAGATGAAATGTGACAAGGCAGTAGAGTGGGAGAAGGGAGGAGAGAAAGAGGGGTGAGGAGAGAGGGGAGGGTGTGGGGAAGGGAGAGGAGGAGGGGAGGGTATGGAGGAGGGGAGAGTGAGGGAGGGAGGAGGGGAAGAGTGAGGGAGGGAGGAGGGGAAAGTATAAGGAGAGCAGAGAGGGCCGGCCCTGTGGCTTGGTGGTTAAGTGCGCGCGCTGCGATGCTGGCGGCCCGGGTTCGGATCCCGGGTGCGCATCGAGGCACCACTTCTCCGTTCATCCTGAGGCCGAGTCCCACATGCAGCAACTAGAAGGATGTGCAGCTACGACACACAACTATCCACTGGGGCTTTGGGGGGAAAAAAAAAAAAAAAAAAAAACTTTAAAAAAAAAAAAAAAAAAAGGAGAGCAGAGAGCAGAGAAGGAGGGGAAAATGGGGAAGAGGGGAGGGTGTTGGGGGAGGGAAGTGTGTGGGGAGGGTGGGGGAGGGGAGAGACTACGGAGAAGGAAGAGGGAGGGGAGGGTGTGGGGGAGGAGGAGGGAACACTCACCTTCTTCTTTGTTGCAGCCAGGACTCTCTGCTGTGGCACATGAGGGGCCGCTGGGGCCTGCATTTCTGGTCCCCGCAGCTTGTCGTCCTAAGAGACCCCAGGGCCTGGCACTTGCTGAGTGGTTGGAAGCCCGCTGGCTGTCACTTTGGGAGCTTCTGAGGGACCTGTCCCAGGACTGAGACCTCCTGGGAAGGGTCCTCCCAGCAGCTCCTGGACTGCTCTCTTCACTCGGGATCCCCTGGGGGTCTCCCCGGGGGCTGGGGATTTCTTTCTGGGTTGGGTCAGCCTCTGCCCTGGCCCCCTTGGTCTGGGAGCTGCAGGCCTCATCCCGGAGGGACTCCTCGGAGCTGGAGCCCAGGGGCATGGGGTTCCGCAGGGCCTCCATGTAGGACTTCCTGAACCAGCGTCTGGCCTCCACGCTGGCCTGGTCCCTGGGCGGCTGCCTCCTGGAGCTCAGGCTGACTGTGTCCCTGTGGAAGGTGATGGCCTGGGGGCTGTCCTTCTTGTCCAGGGCGTCCAGCCACCCTCCTGGTTCTTCAGGGCTCCCAGGGGGCTCCCATGGGCTCTGGTCTGAGGGGCCGACCCCTACAAGGCCTCTGTCGGAGCTTCCGGACCTGGCCCTGCAGCTTTCCCACTCAGATCCTCTCAGGTGAGGAAGATGCCAGGGCTGGTCACTGCCAGGAGGCCTACTGTGGGGGGGTAGGGTCGAGGTGGTGCTGGAAGGAGTGCTCCCCTGGGGACAAGGGCTGGCCAAGGCTGGTGCTGGCGCCAGGACCTCCAAGGTGCTGCGGGGCGGCAGCTGCTCAGGCCCGGGATGGCTGGAGCCACTGGGCAGGACAGTTCTGGTCATGGGTACGAAGACGGGATCTGTGAGGTTGCTCCACGGGGTGCGGTAGACGGCCGAGCCTGTGGTCAGCAAGCAGTTTTGCAAGGGGACACTGTTCCGCTCCCCATTCAGCCATTCCAGGAACTCTGCTGTGAAGACGCGGCCGTACATGGCTTCAGGGACAGCGACTTCTTCTGAGCCTCCTCCGAGACGGGAGAGGCATTTTAAGACCAGTCTGGCCGACTGCTTTCTCACCGAGGTGACCTGAAGGTAGAAGTCCCCAGGCCTGAGCCTGACTCCGCGCAGGGATGCCAACTGCACCACCACCTTCTCGTGGACGCACAGCGGCCAGCCTTCGTGGAAGAAGACAAGGCCGGTGTACCTGGCCTGGGACAAGAGAGGGGGAAGGAGATCAACCATCGGTATGGGCCTGTCAGAGCCCCTGGTCTCCATCCATCAGGGGAGGGTGAGCGATTGGGCCCCCTGCACCTCAGAACACCAAACAAATCACTAGGACTGAAAACAGGGGTTTCTTTTTGGTTCAGTGAAGTCAGTTAAAAACACACTTTTACAGCTGTTTGTGGAGGCTGTAGGAGGAGGGCCCCAGGACAGGGAGGGAGGAGACCCAGGCCCAGACTCACCACAGGCAGCTGCGGCCAGAGCCCACGGGGACTCTGGGGTGAGTTACTCCTAGGAGCTGTCCCCACCTGGGCAAGGGGCTGGGCTTTTACACTCTTGACTCCGCCAGCCCTTGGTCTAAGCGCCACCTCATTTCTGGCTTTCCCAGGCACCCATGGGCAGCCCCCCAAGAAGATCCCTGCCTCTGGAGTCGCAGGGTGGGGGTGCAGTGACAGGACCCGGGATGCGGACAGGACACCAGCAACATGGGCTGCAAGCTCCGACCTAATGCAACAGAATCCTTTCTACTTATTTGAAGGAGTCAATGAAGTTTACAACCAGGCTGTAGACTATGGGGTGAATTCTTAAGCACTTCTTTGAAAAGAACTTGCTCTAGAAAAGGTTTAGACTTCAGGATGGATGAGACACAAGTCAAATGTGGGCAGCGTCTTCACAGGGCATGAGAGTGTCAGGCAGTTTGGGGAACAAAGGGTGGGACCCCCTGAGATGTCAGAAGCTGCAGCTACACGTTCTAACATGGGACCACATTCTACACTACGAGTTTAGTTTCAGTATTTTTTGCTTTGCAACTTGGTTTTTCCCTACTCCATCAATGACTTCATTGCACAAACATATTACAATAATAGAGAAAATGAAAAAGAAAGAAAAAAATCTCATTCTAATATATCTCAAGAGATTTTTGGCTTTTCTTTCCCTTATCCATATAACTTTTCTAAACTGTAACAATAATGTAGATATAATTTGGCATTTTTGTTTGCTGTCATCCTCAGCAAACATTTCTGTTACTCTCTCACAGTTACCACCTTGATGGCTGCAGTTACCACTGCATCACGACATTTGGTCAACAATGGACCACACAGACGACAGGGGTCCCATAAGGTTAGTACCATAGAGCCTAGGTGTGTAGTAGGCTGTACCATCTAGGTTGTGTAAGGTCACTCTATGATGCTCACGCAACGATGAAATTGCCTAACGACACATTTCTCAGAACGCATCCCCGTCATTATGTGATGCACGACTGCATTGAACTGTTCCTCTATTGTCAGAAATCTACAGTGCTGCTTCTTCTATTGTAAATAATAAACGCAAGGAAATTTTCATGATACAGTTTCTTCTTCTTTTAAATTATCGTTTTAGGATACATTTCTGGGATTAGGATTACAGGATTTAAGGTTATGAATGTATTTTATGATTCTTGACAATATGAGCAATTTGCCATCAAAAGAGACGCAGTGTCAGCAGCGACGGATCGTGTAACAGTTCTGCCGTGATTTAGCAGCATGAACTTTACGTTAAATCCTTTGCTAAATTAATATGTGTAGCGTGGAATATTCACATCTATGTGATAGATAGTGAAGCCAACCCTTTTCATGATGCTTGTTTTCTTTTCTGTACATTTTCTATATGAATTTTTGCTCATTTTATGAATTGTGGTCTTATTTTTGCCTTATTAGTTGCTGTGAGGTTTTTTTTTTTTTAAATTTAACAGACAATACTTTTTGCACTCACCATTAGCAAACGTTTCTGTATGTTATGGATCCACTTGCTGCACATATTCGTCCCAGTTTATTTGCTTTATAGTTTAGTTATACTCCTTTCCTCTCTACAGAAGTTTAAATTTTATACAAATTGAATTTCTTGATTTTTTTGTGATATCTTTTATTGCCTTAAAACTTAGAATATGACATCTTACTAAAGGTTGCCTTTCACATTTATTTTCTGTTAGTTTTCCTAAAAGTTGAGGTTTAAAAAATATTTAATAGTTTCATATATCTGGAGTTTACTTTGGAAACTGTACCTTAAATATACTGGTGTGTTCTTAGGAGCGAAGGTCTCATGAACCATGTTCCTGCTGCCTTCCTGAGCACTCGCACATGGGATGCAGAACGGAGGAGGGTTGTCCAGCTCTCAGGGAGCTGAGGGCCTGTGAGGAGGGACGCACAGTGCAGCCTCTGGTGCAGATGGGGCCAGTATTTGCTGAGCACCCGCCAGGCACCGTCATACCTGTGGCCACATTTAATTACAAATAATACTTGTGCTCTGCTCAAACTGGAGGATCCAGAAAAAAAAAAAGAATAAAATAATCCCAACACCAACCCCCAGAGGTCGGAATTGTCGACGTTTATATGTGCTTCTTTTCACTATTTTTTCTGTGCGTTTTTTTTTTTTTTTTGTGAGGAAGATCAGCCCTGAGCTAACATCCATGCTAATCCTCCTCTTTTTGCTGAGGAAGATCGGCTCTGAGCTAACATCTATTGCCAATCCTCCTCCTTTTTTTCCCCCAAACCCCAGTAGATAGTTGTTATGTCATAGTTGCACATCCTTCTAGTTGCTGTATGTGGGATGCAGCCTCAGCATGGCCAGAGAAGCGGTGCGTCGGTGTGCGCCCAGGATCCGAACCCGGGCCTCCAGTAGTGGAGCGTGCGCACTTAACCGCTAAGCCATGGGGCCGGCCCTTTCTGTGCGTTTTTAATGGTTGAGATTACATCACAAATACGACTGCGCATCTTGACTTTTCACCTAACATTATTTCACCTGCACTTCCTGTGCTATTAGAAACCCTTCACACAGATCACTTCACTGCTGGATACTTATTTCCCCCAAATTTTGCTCTGACAAATTAAAATACCATGTACATCTTTGGGCCTGGGGCCCTGCCTGGGTTTCAGATTCTTCTGTGGAATCTGAGGCCTTAGAGGACATCGAAGGGTATGGCTATTCCAGGGCCCTTGGGAGGCCCCACGGGGATCGTTGGGGTGGAGCTGGTGCCCGCTAATGTGGGTGGCTGCAGATGTGGGTTATCGTCCTTGCTGAGGGGTCAGCAACCTCCCCACACTAGACCTGAACATCCAGCACGTCGCTTGGCCCCACGGTCAGCAACGGTGAGGTTCCCAGCCTGGCAGCTGCCGTAGACCCAAGGCACAAGCCCAGAGCAGGAGGGCAGTCGGAAACAACGTGAAGCAGCAGCTGCTGCTGCTTTTATTGTGGAAAAACATGTGTAATATAAAATCTACCGTCTTAACCACAGTTAGGAGTACAGTTCAGCGGCATTAAGTAGGTTCATGTTGTTGTGCAGCCGTCACCACCATCCATCTCCAGGACTTTTCCATCCTCCCAAATTGGAACTCCACCCATTAAACAATAACTCCCCATTTCCCCTCCCCCAGCTCCTGACACCCACCATCTACTTTCTGTCTCTATGACTTTGACTACGCGAAGTGCCTCATATAAGTAGAGTCACACAGGATTTGTCCTTTTGTGACCAGCTTATTTACGTAGCATAATGTTCTCAAGGTTCATCCACGTTGTAGTATGTGTCAGAATGTCTTTGTTTTTTTAAGGCTGAATAACATTCCATTGAATATATATGCCACATTTTGTTTATCCATTCATCTATTGATGGATATTTGGGTTGTTTCTATCTTTTGGCTATTGTGGATAGTGCTGCTATGAACATGGGTGTACAAATACCTGTTCCAGTCCCTGCTTTCAATTCTTTTACGTATCTCCCCAGAAGAGGAATTGCTGGATCACATGATAATTCTATGTTTGCTTTTTTGAGGAATGGCCAGACTGTCTTGCACAGTGGCTGCACCATTTTACATTCCTACCTCAATGCACAAGGATTTCAATTTCTCCACATCCTCGACAATGTTTCTTGTTTTCTGTTTTTTTGGTAATAGCCATCTTGATCAATGGAAAGTGATATCTAATTGTGGTTTTGATTTGCGTTTCCCTAAAGATTAGTGATGCTGAGCATCTTTTCATGTGCTTATTGGCCATTTGTATGTCTTCTTTGGAGAAATGTCTATTCAAGACCTTTGCCATTTCTGAATGGGGTTGTTTTTTGTTGTTCTTGTAGAATTTTTAGAGTTATTCACATATTTTGGATATTAATCCCTTATCAGATATGTGACTTG